CTCTTGACATCTTGCAACACAATCGCCACTTGCTAGAATGACTCTTGCAGAATGCAACGTGACCATAGCACCAACTCATGATACTCTACGCACATCCTCTTATCTACTCACTACCAATTACCACTGCAATCGCTTGTCACTCATTCTGCCTCAGTTCTAGTAGCGGTGACGCATGCGAGCCTCAGTCGTTTACACTCTTTCTCCCCGGCGTGTCGGACCGCAGCTAACAATTATCTCCGTGTGCATTTCATTCTCAGCAATAGCCTAGCCTCCCCGGCGTATACGACCCATCTGCTGTCCTTAACATCAATCAATTCATTCATGGATGTAGAAGACTCGAAACAACTTCAGAAGTAATCACGACGAAAATTTTAACAAAATTACGCAATAACAACAAGATACGAAAACAACAAGTAAACACAATGAATCCAAAAACACCAATTGATATGACACACCACACATATATACAAACAGTACAAAAACCTCGCGATCATGTCTTGGTGGAATTCCTTTGAAGAATTGCAGGACTTACACCAGTACGCCTACAACCCTTCACAGGTTGACGATTGTAAGTTGTGGAATGTCCGGACACAAACAAGATTAACCAACAATTACATAATTGGAACTCACACAATTATTTAACACAAACATATGTACAATCACTACATCAAATGTTGTGGATTCCGGCATGACAAACTACCCTTGAAGAACTGTAGGACTTACAGCAGTACGCCTACATTCCTTCTCAGGTTGATGATCCAAGTGGAAGTCGTCCGGACACAAACAGAATTACCAACAGCTAGATGACAAATGATATCAATTCAGTATATACAATATGAACATATGTACAAAATCACACACCGAGCACATTGGACTGCTCATTGATGCGCTACCCTTTGAAGAATTGTAGGACTTACAGCAGTACGCCTACAACCCTTCTCAGGTTGACGCTCTAGGTTGGAAAATCGTCGCAGAGTTCATTTGCTGACTTCCTTCTATGAGCTATATCCTCAAATCTGAACGGCAACACGCCCATGTCATTGTATCGTAGAATATAGATGACGAACAAACACACGACATATCTCATCAACCAAGTGTAGAAACAGAGTAATTTACACCAAAGATAATAGCATTCAATTAGTAACTTGAAACTAGAAATGCCTTTATTCGTGCAAGTCAATTTAACAATTACTCTCTCGTTTACACTTGGCTTATTCTCACTAAACTGAGCAATATCTTTCGTCTTTTCAAACGCACCAATACTATCATAGTCATTGCATAAGGCACGTGAGTTCATGGACGTCCATTTCATTGTGGATAAAAACACCAACGATGACTGAGTGACACAAGGTGATGAACTTAGCGTTGGATCAGAAGCTGTTCTTTTTCGGCTTTCAGATAGTTGTCTAACTGCAAGATTACCACCACTGCTGTCTTTCACTACTAGTTCGGGTTTAGCACTATCATCTGATGATAGGTGGGCTACACGCTGATCAATTACACTGACTGTCTCACAAGTATGCACACCTTCTGGAACTGCATCTGCGTTCAATTCTACTTCACGTTGTAGTTGTACAGAACCTTTATTTAACTTAGCAGTAGTAGGCATATCCCTCATTTCATCATGATCAACCAAAGACAAATGTGAAGTATCATGATCATTATCACGAATATTCACTTTACCGTCAAGTTCATCATTTTCAAACTCTTTAATAACAGAAGTAGACAATTTTGGTTCCTCCTCACAAATCATTAAAGGTTTTATAACTTCACTCTGACTAGTTATACTTTGTAAACTTGTGGAGTCAGAACTGCACTCTGAAGCAGTAACTCTATTCTGTGACACTCTATTCAACAATGGCTTACCAGTTGCAACTACAGACTTCTTGACCAAACCGTTATCGTCACACAATTCGGAGTCAGACCTGGAGTTTACATTTAGCTTATCACTGAACTTGCTCACTGGTTCACAGTTCACTTCTGTATGCACCTCTTGCAACGTGTAAAACACAACCGTGTTTGTCTTGCATCTTGTAACTTATCTGTTGAGGATGTACTACGAAACCTGTTACACTCACTAGGTCTATATGCATTACTAGACATCATGGAGCCTTCTCGATATCCACCTCTCTGAGGCCTACTCGTCATCAATGATTGCATTTTGCTCTCAGACTGCTCTATTCTAGGGGTGAGATGTAATAGACTGGAAAACTTGCTCATAGATTGATTGACGCTATCTTTTACCAGTTTCAGGATATCATCAAACTTTGGCTCGATACCCTCATCCTCCATACGGGAGCTTATCTTCACCCACTTCCTTTGCAGTCGAGTAGGTAGGCGTCTTGCTATTACTTCTAGTATAAAACTCGAGTTGAGGTCACTCATGCGATTCATCGAAATCAAGGTATTCTTATAAATCATAAGATTATCTAAAAACTCAGTGAGTGCCTGGGAGTCATCCTGTAATTGACCACCATTACCCTTAACAGCCTCGAATAATTTCCCTGCAATCATCGAAGGTCTTCCAAACCTTTGACGTAATATGCTCATAGCCTCGTAGTAGCCCTCTTTTGGCTTCATAAACTTACAACACTGTATAGCTCTTGCAGCATCTCCAGTGCAATACCTCATCAAATACATTAACTTCAATTCATCATTTAATAAAATCCACTCAACATGATCTCAAACTCCTTTACAAATTGTAAATAATCAGCTGGGTTTCCATCAAAACACCGTGGTTCAAATTTAGGGAGTTTGATGTTCCTATTATCCCTGAACGGCGAAACAGTAACATCAACCATGTCATGCTTAACATCAGACACATCGTTACAATTAACAGACAAGTCACCATGACTTACTTTCCTGTTTGCATCCAAGACGCTCTGTCCCTTCTTTGACCCAGGCATTGTTGAACTTGACCCAATTCCAAAAAGTTCCAGATATTGCTTGTTCAAAGAGGACTTGACCGGCACCAGGAAAGATGAACGGCGACTATCCAAACTGTCACCATCTGTCCAAAACCGTCGATAACTGACTTCACCATCAGAAACTGTCAGTCACGTCTCGTAAACCGTTAATGCCAAGCTCTTGCTGCGCTCGGGCTCACGCTGTTCCTTGCAGCTTTTCAGAAACGCTTAGTAATAACGGACGAAAAAACCAAAAGACCGATCGGCCACTTGAGAATTCTTTATTGTTACACCAACATATAAAAAATATTTCTACTAAGGTTTCTGATGGTTTACTGCTGACTTCTTTCTGAACAGCGACCGATGAGACGATGACTGTCGTATTGATGCCTCCGCGAAAATTGGGGAAGTTGATTTTGAGCAAACAACCAAGAATTGATCGTTCAATCTTCAACTCCATTGACACTTTCCATTAACGCAACATTTCATAATTCCTGAATGAATCTCACTCACTATGAGTATATTAATTATTATAATTTAGACTTAAACCAAACTCTTGTGTTCTATTCTTATAAAGTTTCTAGAGGTCATTTTCAATTTTTAATGTCATAAAACATTGTTCAATTTCAAACTGTACTTGTCAAATATGATCATATCTGTACACACGGTATTCAAATCCTGTAAATGCTTAATATAAGTGAAATATATTATTATTATCCTTCTTCTCCTATAGCGCGTTGTTCGTAGCACTGTGCGTAGCAGTGGATAATTGTTACATTCGTTTTCAGCTGAATCTTACTGTCATAATGCTGCGGGATGGAAATTGGTTCCTATTGCATTAAGCCTTTGGCTGCCACTGGTGACATCACGATAGTCACTCGCTGCCTCATTAAGATTGTAGCTGTCGTCTGAGTGACCAGGTAGGAGAGGATTACTGACTAACCAGTTGACAATTTTGACAGTCCACATCCATTCCATCTACTCTTGCAGATTCCCAGCATTTCTAAACCATATCTTTTCATTTCTTTGGCTTCCTGGGCAGCCTTCACATACAATTTCGTACATTGTACTAACATTCCGTGTCCTCATTCTTATTATTGCTTTCATTAAAAGAAAGAATACATATGGGCAAGCTGACTGGCCACCAGAAGTCTGGTTTTCACCATCCTGTTGTATCATTTTGCCTTTCCGACTTCGGCAAAGAATAAGTTTGTTTCTTATATTTTTTATTTTTGATAGGTTTTGTTCTGCGTTGAAGTTTCTGTAGCAGTATGATTGGTTTAGGGGTGTAGGGTGGTTAGCCCAACAACCAACCCTCCCTCTCTAACCTGACCTGGGACCATCTAGTAAACTAGCGAGCCAGTAAATTAGTTAAAGTCGTCTAATTCTTTGATGTGGATAACTAACATTTTGATCTATGTGCTTGTGTTGCAGATAAGCAAATTTCAGCTATATTGTCAGAAATTGTCCTACTTCTCATTAGTTTTCACTTGTCACGAAATGACAAGCTGCTTTGTAACACAATTGTAAATGCGCCACATAAATTAATTAACCTTATTTGATAATTAACTTGATTAGACTCAGAGGGCAGTTAGCTAGAATCCAATGTTTAAAATTTTCACAAAACATCGTGAATTATCTCCGTCCAGTTTGTCAATCTGAAATGTAATTTGTTGCATATTCTTAGTATCCTAGCTACGGAAGTTATTTGGAACCCAGAGAACTGGATGTTAACGGTGTAGTGAGCGTTAACTGCTATCAATGATTTAATAACTAATCAAATTCTTTCCATCTTAGAAGGCTGCTCAGTTTTGTACTTCCATCCTATCATTATGGAGAATTTCACTTGCTGTTCATAAACCTATATTTATTATAATTTTGTTACGCATGTTAAGTGTTGTTTAATAATGTAGTCATTCTACTTGTAATAGGCACCTACGCTCATAAGCACACCTAGGAATGAGATTAGACATGTACTGATTTTATATTTGATTTACTCGAGGTAGTATTTGTTTGTGTACACAGAAACTAAATATTTGTTGGCACCGCTCGACTTAAAACTAGGATTTGGAGGAATTTTGAAGTTTGCCGAAGATGCTGCGGGACATTCTCTACAAAGGAAAAGAATTGGCTGACAAAGTGTAAGATGTACTATTCTAAATAATTTCAAAAGAACTAACATCATGATGAATTATACAGAGGTGGAGATGAAGGTTCGTGAGGCAACGAATGATGAAATATGTTGTCCTCATGGTCGACTTTTGCAAAAGTTGGCAGATTATACATATGCACATGACACATTTCTTGAAGTTATGTCTGTTTTGTGGAAGAGAATGCATTCTGATGGCAACTGCTCTTGGAGAAGGGTATATAAGGCAAGTCATACCGTATTCGATTTAATATGTAGAAATGTCAATATTTTGATTTCTTGCTCACTTATATAAGGCTTTACATACTTCCGCTACATTTAGTTTCACGGTTTTTATTTAGAACTCAGAAGTGTTACGCAATGTTGGCTGGGAATCTTGTATTTATTTAAGCCGAATTTATAAAGTATGGATAATTTCATTATGTTAGCGAGAGTAAAGACTGCCTTAATATTCCTACCGTCATTTGGTGAAAGAAAGTTGTCTAACAGGGAATTTATTCTTTAGATCCTTGGAGAGAAATTCGGAGTCATATAGCACGTAAAATATACGTATATTGATATGGCTTGTGAAAAGCGCCCAAGACACACTACATGCAATCAGTCGACCACCTTTAGGCCTATAATTTTATATATGTCTATTAGAGGCTTTTTCACTTTTCCCGTGAATGAGACACGTTTCGTTAGACTGTCTGATTTGCGAATTATATTCAAAGAAATGGATTGGAACTAATTATTAAATTCACCAATTGTTGATCCAAGTGCTGCCAAGTAGCGTACGTTGCCTAGTTGAAGTTCCACAGCTGTGAATATTTGGTAGATAATTTATTTTAGAGGCTGCATTTTCATACTCGTTATATCATGATGCGTAGTGCGTTGGTTTCGTCATTGGTTTCTACTTGGTTGATAGGGAAAATACAAAATAGAAAGTTTCTTAAATATTCCACAGCTAAGAGGAATTCGTGTCTTGAATAGAAGTTTGGCTCTCATTGGTCATCAGGTAGATGTCTTGAATTCCTTCGAAATAATAAACATTCAGATTAGTTCAGTCTTACTAAATTCAGTTCAGACTATAGCCGTCAAAAGTCTAAAAATCTGGATAAATCCAGTTGTTAAGATTTTTTCGATGCATTTATCGTTAGGGAGTAGAGCATTAAAGGATGGCAACAGACAACTCAGTTTTAAAGCTAAGAATGTGTAAGATTATCACTAAAAAGAGATCACTGGTTCGTTCTCGAGAGCAAGAGTACTGAGAAACTGTTTGACGGAACTTTTGTCTCTCATCAGCCCGAGTAGTATATTAATGGATATATTGACTAAATCCAACGGAGGTTGTGGAAGCTATAAAGAAGACTAAACAGGGGATTAAAACTGTAATTTCTGTTGTGTTTCTTGTGATGATTAGGAATTTTGAGCTAGTATTATTAAATCACTGAGTCAGATATATTTCCCTATTATTAGTTGCAAATACTCCTCGGTGTTCAAGAAAAAAGCTTCGTATTATGACTACGGACGGACTAATCTTTCAGTATAATCCAGAATCATGTGACTCCTGATCTTAGCTTGGGAATAACACACTTAAGAAAGTGAAACGCTTCAGACCCGTTCAGTAACATATTGGTTATATATATGTATATGTATGTATCTCGTTTGTTAAAGTGATTTTAGTTTTCACCTTCACCTCCCAAAGACCAAGTAGACGTTTTTAATCTGCATTTGATATACTTTCACACGAGATTATTCTTGGAAGTAGTTTTTGCGTATCATTAAGTCTGAGTAACTATTTCACAAGCACCGGAAGCAGAATATGTCTCTGTTTTTCTTTTACAGTTTCTCTGTTACTTGTAAATGTTTTTAAACATAGCAGCTTTTCCATTACTCGTATAGAAAAGTTGTTTAAATTTATTTTATGGACGCTTTTTCGTGCTGTCTTATTTTTCGCGTGTTTTCATTTGTATTCGCAGTCACTGTTTGTCCTCGCTTTCCTGTTGCGTAATGGATCTGATTATGTTGCGCAAGCAGCTCGAGATCATATCTACGACATTCGTACTCTTGAATCTTTTCGTTACTTTGATGAGAATGGAAAAGATCAAGGGATGAATGGTAAGTGATAGTGTATTTTCAAAAATATATAGAAACTTAAAGCTACTGATATCTCGCATGTAACTTACTATTAATCAGTCCTGCTCTGAAATACTACTTTATGTTGTTCAACTCTTGTAGCCAGCTAGTGTCATAAGGCCTCATACAATAAATGTGGCTCATAGTTCACTAAATAAAACGTGCGACAAGTAACTGGGTTGGACAAACGCACAAAACTGCAATAATTTTAATTCATAATGACGTATGGGTTCGTGTACCAACCACTGAATCTTTATTTGGATTATTCAAACCTCACTAGTCAGCGGTTAAATCTCTGATTACCTAACTCGATCAATCACAGCTTCATTGGACTTTATATGTCTGGTGTGCATTGATGGATGCCATTCTATGAAAATGACTTAATTAGTAGTCTCATGCTATTAATTGCCACCATTGGTGTTTTTTTCCCGGTAAGGTGTTTCTGATTACCGTTAGTTTATTCACCTTATTGCTACAAGATGTACATACAGTATTTTAGAAAAGAATTCGGAGTTATTTACAGAACACTAGAGAAAAACCCAATCAATATGATTTGATTATCTGTTGTTCATCATTTAATTTCGGCGTTTCTTATCCACATCATACTGAATTTGTAAAAGCCTTTTTAAAATCTGAAATACAAAATAGAGGAAGCACTTCAGATTTCGCTCTTATAAGTTCTAAAATACCAGTCTGAATTATTCACTAAAATATTTATGATAAAAGTGAGGGTGCAGTAGTCCCAGTCATTTTCATTACTTGTATCCTGAGTGGAATACACAGCTACAAACTTTGAAATTTCAGTAGCGGTTGTGTTGTTTTTTTCTAAGGGGTTGGTGTTGCTATCCTCATACCTAACCTTTCCTTTTTTCGTCTTTGTTAGTGGCTAGCGAACCATGTGTCGTTTAGGAGTGCGTTGACTGAGGATCAAACTTGGATTACGTGTGTTGGGTAGCATTCTATGATTGAACTACTGACCAAGTTAAAGGTAGTTTCATCAAATTAAACAGAGGGAATGCTTATAATAAGAGCTGTGTGCTCAACCTCGTTAGTACTATATCTAGGGTCTTGAAATTCACAATATCTAGCGGGATTCAGAGTCGCTACATTTTTGGATAATATATATATATATATATCTGATAAAAGCTAGTGAAGGATATGTTGATGAATGCTCTGAAAGTAATGTTACAGTCTTGTGGCTTAGATAACCGTGATGGTTATTAGGGTCACATATATTCATTGTTTTTGTAACGTAGCAGCTGTGTGCATAATTGTGCATCAAAGTGCATCCATTTTGAAGGAGTAAGAGGTAATCATGATGCTCGACCTGTGGAACCTCAGGAAGTGAAATGACAGACAGTCAATACTTACGTGGTGGGACTATTTGTTTTTTTCATACTTTGAACTTCTAAGATTCCTTTAGCTACACCTTAATATCAGTGTGTCAGAGTTTTAATGAAACTTGTTACCTGATTCAGCTCAGGTTTCGAGTGTTTGCTGAAGGCTTTGAAGTGAAGTCAACAGCAGACTTCTCATGAATAGAAGCAGTGTTCTATTATATATTAAGTAGTTAGTAATTTTTTACGAAGTAAGGAAAGTTCTCAGGAAACATTAAGAGATATGATATTGGTAACACGAAGAAGGAAATAAATAGGGTTTAAATGATAGAGTCAGTGTTTATTTTTTGCAGCAGGTTGAAGTAGTTTTGTAGAGATATCTGTCGGTTTACTCCTAAAAAAAAGTTGTACTCTGCAGACTTTAAATAAGCTTTATATATACAGGGTAAAGTATCCGAGAAATTTCATGGTTCTATATTGGCGCATATGATTGCAGCGCTAACTATCTCATTTCTTGTCTGTAAGCACTCATTTAAGCGAATGAATAGTAATTATGCAGCACTCATTCCATACTGACATTTACTGACATGCTTTTAGCACTAAAGCACCACATATACAGCTAGAACTATGTTAAAAACCACGTTTGTAACCAGGTTGTATGTTCGTTGTTGGATTTAATTTCCCAAGTGTATGTTTATATTTAAAAAAATTCGTACTGTTTTCGAAAATACGGGTATTTTGACAATTCTGCTGCACACTCTAGCATTCATATATGTGTGCTTTTACATCCGCAGAAATTTGTCTAATTCTATTATTTTTTAAAATTTCATCTTTAACAATCTTTTAGTTCGTATTAAAGTCCAAGAAGTAATTGATCTTTTACAAGATCCAGAAAAGTTACAGGAAGAGCGTCAAAAAGCCAAAGCCAGTAGACATCTTTATACAGGTTATGGGAATGCTAATGAATCAGATTGGGGTTATTCTTCATATGGTAGCAGAGGTGGCGGTGGCGGTGGTGGAACGGATTATTATCGACGATCGTAAGTCTCTTTGTCCATATTTAGATATTTCCACCTCAGATATTTTCTCGTGTTTCTGAAATTTGTTTCTGTTGGTTGCACGGAAGGATTTCATTAGATTAGTAAAGATAGGTGAGATTCTTTGGGCAGTTTATCGAACACACACATACTGCCGTGGCACCTAAACTGAAGCAGATAGTTATCTTATTAGATCCTTGGGTCTTACTTAAAATCCAATTCACAGTGGTGGTGGTGGAAAACTTGCGTTTCTGTAGTTGCCGGCAACCAGAACGGGTTCATACGCCACTTGATCCTTTCGGATTCTGCAGTCCATGTACACCATAAGTTTGGAATCATGGTTTTCTAGCTAACTTATGTGGACCACCGTGTCTGCCAGTGCGTTTGTAAGCTACAGACGTTCTCATTCACTCTTTCAATTTTGTGAGGAGCAGCGCCGCTGTGTGAAGGCAATGAACAGGACTTACCTTACAGAGCAAAGCTATGAACACGTAGCCAAATGAAAACATTTCGAGAGAAAGGTCGAAGTCTACCCACCCTAGGCTGTGCCAGTTCGTTTTGAATATAACAAACAAAAACTTATAGTTTTCATTGACAAGTTTTAATCACTGCACAACTATATTAAATTGGCTTGAGAAGTTAATGTGAAGTGATACGTCGTATTGAGGATTTTATAATTCTATTACATAAGGAAATATACCGCAAATACATCGAGGTAAGACATTGTGTATAGAAATGTATATAGAAGTCTTAGGCAGTGAAACATGCAATTTTTCAATACGTTGATGTAAGAAATTGTTTTAATCGTAACGCGAAGCGTCCCAAATTTATAAATTAAATGACAGTCTTCAAGGTATTTAGGAAATGTTTTAACCCTTAATGTAGGGATATGACTCACTGGTTAAAGTGCTCGACTTACAGCCAATGGGGTTCTCAGGCTTAAAATCCTGCTACACCTATTTTAGCCTAGGCAGCTGAGTGGTATCATTAGGCGTCACACAGTGGGTGTGGCTCAGTCTGGCACATGGAGGGTTTAATCCTGCTAACTAAGTCTAAACGACCCCTTTTTATAAATAATATTCTCTTCAATTCTATTCCTCTTAGTTGTTGATCTAATGTACATATATATATATATATATATATATATATATATATATCGCTGCAAATAATTACAAAATATAAACGAACCATATTGGGCTGTTAGTGATATTAGTGGTACTATAATTAACACGCGAATTCCTCACTCAGTTAATATTATAACACTGATTAGGTGAACATCCATCCAAACAGACGTCGTGGATCAAAGCTTGAAAATAAACAGTAGAGTCGCGTGACAACAAAGGGAGCAGGAGTAGGTAAACTGAGTTCGAGTGGTGATTTAGTAAGGATAGGAAAAAAAGATGCAGTCCAAAGGGATATCAGTCAAAATGAAAGAAATGTAAAGATTTAATTTAATCTTCCTTGACCAGAGTAATGATAGTGAGAAAGGAAATCTCTTCTGAATACACCGATTAATGCGAAGTCCACTAGCGCTATTCACTTGTATGAAATAAATCCCTTTGGATATTTTTCATCATTTTAACCAAGTGAAAACTGCCAATCAGATAAGACAAAGTAGAATTTAATGTAGATTTGGTTTTTCTTCCCTCACTGCCACAAACAGAAATGCTTAGAGAGACCTATTGTCTACAACAGTGTCTTGTTGATTGGTCAATATGATATGACTATCTCCATATAAGAATTTGGTAAAAACTGAATAGCCTTTACTGTTCTTTTGTGAGACATGACATGAAAAGATATTTTTCCATGCTTTGTATGACAACATTTTAAGACGGAACTCTTCACTTGCTAAACTAGATCTGAATGGTGATTTTGTTTTGCAGCAAGCAATCACCTCAGCTTGACTGATGCATATTTTATTTGATCAGGGTAAAATGATTGTATTCTGACTACCTCTATGATTAGTTCTCATAGCGAACCTTTCTCACTTTACTTAGTAAGACATTTTGTGGGCAGTTTTTGTTGCGGATATTTACAAGATCAAAGAAGTGTGTTTGTCTTATGCACATATGAATGCATTAAGAAATTGAAGTATATATTTTTTGTATTTCATCTTCCCAATGAAAATAACTGAAAAATGTATGTTACTAAATTTCATTCATGGGTTGATTTCTATTGATGTTTTAAACAATGGTCATAAATGCACATATATCATCGACCATATTACCTTAAAACAACAAAATAAAACAGTTTAGAATGAAAGTAGAAATTAAAGTATGAAGTAATAGTGAAGTGACATGAAAATATGACCTAAATCCACTTTATTAAATATTAAACGTATGGTACACATACGCTTCATAAATTGCCTGCTATTCACTTATAAGTTGTTCTATTCATATTTAATATTGTCCATCAATTGTCCGAAGATTATTTATCACTCACTGATTGAAATCAGTTAAAGAACCACTGAAAACCAGGCAGTACTGGACAGTTTGGGACTCTTCATCTTACAACAGTTACTGCCCCAGAGGGGTCGAGTCCAGGACCGTCAGGTTATAAGACCAACTGGTCAACTGTTCAGCCAATGTAATGGAATCCAATGACTCATGAATTTTAACTCATGACTATTACGCGGTCATAGGTGTTGTGTATCTCTGAAGAAATAAGAACAAACAGTTCAGCTAAGAGACGCTTTTCGGCGAATTCATTCACTGAGCAACACAATCGCGATTATGTATGATTTTTTTGTGTATGTATATACATTAGTTTGGAGTATAGCTTACGTCATCAAAATCAAGCTGTTACTGCGAGCGTGTGTGTGTGTGAAGATTAAAGGTTGAGTAATACGAAAAATGTTCAGAAAAATTGAATTTGAATGGCAGAGCACGGAGACAGGTATCGAAATAAATTATGTAGTTGGTAAAGAGAGTAAACAAAAGGTTAGTTAGGAACATTATGTTAATAAATATCATATGAAAAATGCCAAAATTAGTACTAGTAACAAAATACGGATAACACTTAAGCTTGAAATTATACTCAAGGTAAAAGGAGAGAATGGAGAAGTTTCTCCTGTGTATGTACATAAATCAGGCTTTTCTATCCGAATGACTAAGGTCTCAGCAATGTGAAGTACACGGAAGCATACTGTTTTCAGGGGAGGTTTCTTTTAACTTTGTAGATTAAATGAATTGTCTTGGCATATCAACTCTATATTCATGTATAAAGTCTTCTTTCGCACAAAAACACTTACAAAAATAATTATATATAATAGCGATTGTACAGCTAAGTAAATGAATTCGCCGGAAAGAGTTCTTCACTGAACTTTTTGTTCTTATTTCTATGTCTGGATGAGTGGGTGTTTTTCGCGAATTAGAAATTAGCAAGGATCCTCTGACAGTGACAGGTACTTCTGAAGAGTCTCAAAATTAGGACGTAACAGTTGTTCAGTACTCCTTGATTTTTTTTCAGTGGTACTTTAACAAACTTTAATCCATGATGAGACTTGAAATCAATCAAACCTCTGCAAATCAACGTTTGAAACTGTCAATGCCCTACCAATAATGATTCGTTATTTCGTGAGAATCCTTGTTGAATATTGTGTACATGATAACCCACTGTCTAAGGTAATGATTATAATAAAAAGTGTGTAATGGAAGAGAGTGATTCGTTGGTTGAATCACTATACTCCCTAACTATGAGTTACTTACTTTACAGGAAGATATAATATGCACCAAAAAAAAGAAAATGACTAAATGCCTAAAATCCGCCTACAACTAAAGACTTTCAATATCAATGCTGATAAATGATGTTTGTTTAGCTGGGGTGTTTGTATTAATGTGTGTATTGTGTTGGCCTATCACTTCTCCTTTTTCTTATTTCCTGGAGAAGTTTATAATTTTGTCATTATTCTTACCAGTGAACATGGATTCCATCTGATTCCAGGCGTTAATCCATTGTCTTTATTCAGATAGCGAAATGTTTTTTGTCTGTGAATTATTTAAATGCTCTGAGATAAAACGGTGTGTGTGTTAAAGGTCTTACATATCTATCTGTCTGTCTGTTTTCGACATAGAACGTTGCACATATGTGAGATAGTTCAAGTCGCCACACTCCATGTAACACACAAAGCAAGAGAAGAAAATAGAAGAAATGCATAATAGAGACAGTAAACAGAGATACAAGACAAAAGGAATAGTAATAACGAAAATAGCGAAAAATAAGTTTCATTGGAAATTATAAGTCACAAGAGGTGGATGCATCTCCGCCAGCCATTGAGAACGATTTTGAGCCATATCACCAATTATCTCCAGCCTTCATTGGTTTTTAACGTCCCGATGACCCCAACCAGGAAGTCTGCATCTTCCTATGTGGCTAGCTGGCTTAAACTAATTGTTGTGGATTTGATTGACTGGTTCCCTGTTTTGGTTTGACCACCGCTAGCTCTTTTCCAGTCTGATCCTATGTCAGCTAGCATTTCCCGTCGAGGAAGGCGATGGCTAGGCTAGGCATGTGTAACACATGTCCTAACCATCTCAATCGATGTGGCTTGACAGCCTCGTCGATTGATTTCCCTCCCACCTACCTAGCACTCAACCGAAGCCTAACCTCAATATTGCTCACCTTATTATACCACTTCACACGGGAGATAGAGCGTAGGAACCTATGATCACAGACAGCTAATCTTTTCATGTCTTCCATTCTCAATGGCCAGGTCTCACAGCTAGCCATAAAGGAGGACGGAGCGAACTTCTGAGCAGTACACTCGCCCTTTGGTCGATAGCCGGATATCACGTCGACGCCAGAGACGGCGTAAACTGGCATATGCGAAACTAGCCCTCTGTATCTGTTCTGAGATTTCGTCAGAGATCAACCCGTTGGCGTTGGCTGATGGTACTTTCTAAATAAGTGAGGCGGTCAACGTGTTCTACCACTTCACTCCCTATTTCTAAACTAGGAGTCAGTGTGGTCCACTCCTGTAACATCATCTTGCATTTGGCGGGAGCGAATCGCATACCAAACATTCGCAGATTGCAGCTTACCTATCTATCGGACTTCATTAATTTTGCTACAGAAAAAAGAACAGCGACAACCTAGAAACAATGTTAAACTTCTTGACTATTTTATGTTAATCGCACGTTATAAAAAAGTGTTTATTTTTTCAAGAATGTTAATTTAATTCTGTTATGTATATATTATTACAAGTCACTAATCGTCTATTGTTGTTTTCTTTCCCCCCACCCCACCCCACAACACTCCATCCTTCCCCTCCCCTTCCCACTACTTCCATTTTGTCTCACAATCTCCTGCTTACATGTATGCATATATATATTTATCAATATGTTTACCCTGTATAACCTGGCCCCTTTAACTCCTTGTTTGCTTTGTGTGTGTGTGCGCGCTTATGTTTTTCTTTATGTAATGTTTTTGTTCTTAATGCTTCGTTGTAAACTAAATGCTTGCCTATTCTCCTCTCTCTTTATTTTGATTTAAATGTGAAACACACTGTGTTGCCCTTTTTATGCCATTGCTTTTCATGTTTGCTTTACACAAAAAACACTTTTTTCTTCTTATCTAAGTGATTCATTTGATAATTATGATAAAGACGATTATATATCAAAAAGTTATACCTTTCAATCACATACAACTCCTAAACCGCCTACAATACCTCGAATGGAATCAGATTTACCACCGCCTAGGTTGGGTAGTTTTGATGACTGGCATGTGGGTAAAGAACGTGGTGTAATCGATGATGTACTAGAACAATTCAAAGAAGCTTGGGATATGGCAAAAGAATCCACAAAAGATTTAATTTTCACCAAAAAATCTCCAGATATCAGAACAAAGTAGGTGTAGTAGTTGTGCTTCAGTTAGACTATTAATAATAGTCTTTATTATTGTTATTTATTTATTTGAGTATGCTGGAAAAAACAAGCAAGTGTAGACTGTAACTTATATTTTCCCTCCCCCCTCCCGCTTTCATTTGTGAATTCAATTCATCATAAATTTCGTTATTATTATTATTATTGTTGTTACTGTTGTCATTATTACTATTATCGTCATTATTGTCATTGAAATATCACCAGCGAATAGTGTGAATAGTTTGGTGGATGGTGACTGGCAGTGGAATCTAGGATGCACATTTCTTCTTGCTTGGGACCCGTCATCTGGATGTACCTGCATTCCCGAGTGAGTGATGGTGTTCCTACTGAGCCTCGAACCCAGTACCCATAGTTTCAAACGTCAAAGCATTATCCACTAGACCACTTGAGCCACGAGAGCAAGATCTTGTAAAACGAGTATCAGTTATTATTTAATTCAATTTCGACTTTCCTGTTGATTGATTGAGCCAAAGCGTTCGGTGGCAACACCATTACTCACTGGGAAGTGCAGGTGTAACAACAGAAGACAAGGACCAGGCAACAAATCGTTTACTGAGAAAATCAACAGATATTTATAGATTTTATGTACATTAGTATTCGTTATTGTTAGCAGAGAAACAACGTCTTCTGATTGGTTGTTTTCCTGCTATAGGTTATTCTGTCATCTCTTTGTTGCTGTTTCTTAGACAGTCCAGTGAAAAATCTGCTAATCGTATCCGCCCACTCAAAGTCTCCTGTGATTGGTTGTTGGGTTTCTCAAGGTTAGGTTTCGTTATTGTTTTATCTCGTGGCATTGGCGTAAATTGGTGACAACAATTTCGGCAAGCCGACAGCTCTCACCATACAGATACATCCAAATGACGAGTCCCAAATAGAACGAAATGCATATACTGGATTCTACTGCCAGTTACCATCGCTAAATTATTTCAGGTTAATTCCTCAAGCATAATCGAAGCATCCTCACAAGGAGCCGATATGTCAATAGAAGCCGAGCACTTCGGTCCAATCAATCAACGGGGAAATCCACATTGAAATAAATAGTGTGAATAGTTTAACATTACTTTCATCAACCAACCATCATAAATAACCATGTCATACTGTAGTTTTGATTAGTAATAGCTGAAGTATGTGTGTAAAACATTGCATACCTTTGTTAATCAATAAATTAACGGTTATTAATTATCACGATTTAACTTTACAGTTGCCTAGGTTTTGCTGCAAAATGCTTCTTTGTATAAATGTGTGCACTTGCATTTATGCGTATATGTTTGTTTGTGTTTGGCTTTATCACTTCAACTCACTTTATTCACTTATCTCATACGCATAATAATACGCATCAAGGTTTCTTTTAATTAAGATTTTAATATTCTTTCTGACAAATACAGCCTAATGATAAATATATATATATATTCCCTTCTGTGGCATTCCGTTGGCTAACTTTGTTAGTTTTGTTTGTTTTTTCATGTTTATATACGCTTTCCTTATGCTGAGTAGGTTGTCATATGGTTCTAAAATTTAGGATAGTTTGTTCTACATGTAAAATTGTGATGTGTTTGTTTGGCCGTCGTAAAGTGGGAGGGCTGGGAGGGGGAGAGAGGTCTGACTTTTTAATGGGTAAGTTTCAGTCTTTGTTTTTGTCAAACAAAATATAACAACTGTTTAAGACAGGAGATGCAAAGTTTGCCACAGAATCAGTGTTATTGTGTAGAATGGAATTCTGTGTGGCTGTTTACAAAATGGATCGCAGATGGTGTTGTTGTCCACATTGGTCCTTCCTGTATGATTACTATTCTGTCAGGAGAAAATTGTGAGGAAATTTAATATCATGAGTAACAGGTTTGGGGAAATTATTGGTTTTCAAGCATTTGATTATAGAATAATGTGTCTGAGCTTTAAACTTTCTTCCACTTAATTTGGTCTGGTTTGTATCGTTGGTTCAGCGTTAGAATAATTGCCAACCACTCAGATGGTTTGAAATTCGATCTCCAGCCTATGCATTTCATCACCTTGTTCAGCTGACAGTAAGCCCAGTAATGAAGAGGGAGGGTTAAGTGCGATGCAAACAACAACTTTCCCCTGTAAAAAAAAGATTAACACTACTGCTACTGAAACTTCAAAACTGCAACTTGGAGTTCTATTTTCTACTCAGAACGTGAATGGACAAAATAGAAAAATTGTCGGCTTAAAGCGTTAACTTGATATTCTGTACATTATTTTCACAATTAAATGTTACTGTAATTAGAGAAGGGATAGGTGGTTGCGTTTGTGCTGCCAAATTCGAGTTTGAGTCGTAAATATTTTGCTATAAACACTCTGATATATTTATATTTGAGCTTAATTCTAATGACTAGCAGGTTAAAAATATTTTCCTTTCGTGGATGACGTAAGGCTTATTTACCGGTTGTAATGTCAACCCTTTTTGTGCTAGCCTCTTATTATTGTTTTGACTTTTAAGGTAAGCTGTATTTAACTACAGATGTTTACATTCTATCTCACATGTTCAGTTGTATTATGTATGGTGAGTAATATTGAGGTTGGATGTCTAGTTTTCACTAAGGGGGGTAAGTCAATTGATGTAGTTGTGAAGTTACATCGATTGAAATGGTTAGGAAAAATGTTGCTCATACTAAGCAATGTTCACTTACATAGAGTTGGACTGGAAAAAGGCCAGTGGTGGTCAAACCAAAACATTATGGAGAAGATTTGTAGCTCAGGTGGATGATTTTGATATAGTTGTGTTCTCTGAGCTTGATGGTTTATTTGCGAAGCTTTCATTGCCTTACTAGGTAACATCTTCAGCGCATACTTCAATTTGTGGTGAACTTTTTAGATTTCTCCACGAGTTTATTAGTCATCTCTCCACTTACCAATCGATAGGAGGGAAATCTCATACATTAAGGATCAAACTTCCGGTCAAAGAAACAATCAATACCAATGCCAATACAAGTCGCCTAGAGGGTGTGAAAACACAAAAACAACCAATCACGTCCAAGGTGACCCACCAAGAGAGATGACTAATAAACTCGTGGATAAATCTAAGAGCCAACTTCAAATTGAAGTATGCTCTGAAGATGTTGCCTAGTAGGGGGCAATAAAAGCTTAACATATAAACCATCCAGCTCAGAGAACGCAACTGCGTCAAAACCAAAACATGGAATGAATCCATGAAATCTTTAGTGGTTAGTTTGAGCCAGCTACGTAGGGAGATGTAGACTACCTGGTCGGGGATCCTCAGGATTCTAATAGCCAATTGCTCACAATCGTTGTCAGTAGCACAGACACATTCACTCTTTGTTATGTCCCAGACCCATTAAACCTTAATGTTTTTTCCATGCTACTATTCTTTCTTGTTCACATTTCCGCTTATTATAGTACTTTTAAATCCTTTTTCCTCTTCCTTTGTGTGCTACATGAAGTACGTCAACTTGAAGTACTGCACTTCTGTACAAAGTTCTGTGTTGAAATCCAGCCGGTTAACGTTGTCCTGTCCCGTTCTGTTTTATATGTAGTCGAGTTAGGTTACTTTGGATCTTTTTGATTTTTAATGCAGGAATTTCGTTTATATCATAGAGTTTTTACTTTGACTCCGTGTATGTTTATCGCGTGTGTGTGTGTGTAGCGAAGATACGAATGCGTTTGTATTGGTTGTGGGTTTTTTTTTGCAAAATTTTCTGTTTAATCAGTGGCGTGTGTGTTTTACATATGCATTGCATGTTATTTAAAAGGGATAAGATAAATGTTTCGCCTTGGATTCTGAAAATGATTTTTACACAAATATATCTGTCTGCAAGATAGACTAGAATCTCCATTTGCTCATATTATGGTTGAATTTTGGTAAGTAAATTGCTTATTTTCTCTTTTAGGAATATATCTAAAGCTAAATATACATGTATTTAAATATCTTTATATTTATCGATTTTATTACTTTTTTGTTGGTAATATTTCTGTTTTTAGTGAATCAAATCCACGTATGGTATCTGAAGAGGTGTATGAATTCCCACCAGATGCAGTTGAAACTGGTGGTACATATGAGCTTAGAACACATTCAGCAGCAGGATATGGCAATGATCATCCACCTGTACAGAATAAATTCTCATCATCTAATAACTCTTCAAATTCATCCAGTAATAATCAACGTAACAGTAATGTTAGTAATAATACTAATAATAGTATTCATGGGAAATCACATTCAAATGGTAGATCGATGGATCATACACAAAAAGTTATTGTTGAACCTAGGCAACCGGTATGTCTTCACTTAGTATCTTTATGCTTCAACTATATGTTGGATCTGTTATCTATTTAAGCATCAGTATTACTCCTTCCTTTCTTATATTTGTGCTTGTATATATTTGGAATCATTTCAGGATACTTATCCTCTGATTATCATCATCTGTCTGCCTAAATAACGACTGAAGGATGAAAATACCGATCTACATGCTAGTGACAACTGCCGAGGTAGTTGTTGTCAATGCGCTTGTGGTCAACAGTAGCTTGATGTGTATTTAATAATGTATCTTCTTAACATCACAGTCTGCGCATATGTCAAAAGCAACAATAGCTTCAAGTTGTAAAATATGGTCTGAAACAGGAATGTGGAACCCGAGATAACTGGTATTACTATTTGCTATCTCAGTAGTATACTTTTCTTTAGTTTATCTGCCGATCACTAACCTCAACGGATGATACTCTTGTATATTAGTACATTTCTAAGCTGACACTAATAGGTGGGGAAATGGACTGCAGACTAGCTCTGGGGTAACTAACCGTCTGTAATTTCACAGAGCTTCTTGAACAGCTACACAGCATGGACCGTTTAATTACCGTTTCATACAGGCTTTAAGTTAACAAGCAACAATTATAATTGTTATTGTTTTACTGTTTTACTACTGCTCAACACTTTGACAACACCAATCTGACCTTGAAACGAAATACAGAACTCATGTTGTGCTCTATGTTTCTCATTACTACACTGTTGACACTCAAAAATAACAACTAACTACATGTAAACAGGTCATAGACCTAGATAGTTGCGTTAAGATGAACCATGGCCTCATTCAGCGTAAGAAGGCTGCTCAATACTGTAGATGGTGTGTTCAAAGATCGTTGTAGTACTGTGATTTATGTTAGTCCAAAATATGTGAGTTCGCATATAATGGCTTCTTGCCTGCTCATTATTCCCGGTTACTCATAACTGTTTATTTAAAAAAAAGATGTAAAGTTCTTAGGTTGTGTAGTTACAACTGTGATATAATTATTAGCCAATATTTGTGTTCGTTACTTCTCACTGTGTGTGTGTGTGTGATACCTCCAATAAACAAATTAATATGGTTTGATCTCGGCCTGAAATCAGCTAGGTAACCATTGGAAAACCAGGGAGCTGTTTTATCCTTGCACGAGACTCTTCAGTAGTGCGCACCCACAGGAGTTCGAAACCAGAACTTTCCGGTTTCAAGACGACCTTGTAGACCATTCAATCACCGGGACCTGATCCTATGACTCTTGCAAATTCCAAATTCTGCCATTTCGCCATATATGTACCTCAACTAACCAGTTTTGTGGTCTCAAACTAGGATGAAATAGTTGTGCGGTGTTTCCTGCAGGTTTTCCAATGGTTCTCTAACTGATGTCAGGTCTTGTGGACAAACCTGCAACTAATCAAATCCTTGTAAATCAACACTACCACAGTGGGCAAGTTGTACACATATATATCAATAATCATATAATATTACAACAAAAAACGTGGTGATAGGACTGCTAGTTATAACAATAACAGTAACTTCGGTAGTCTCTCTTCTTCTTCTTATCATTATTATTCTCATTCTAACTATTCTGCTGTATAACACCATTAAAATCAACAACAGAATAGATAGCTATCGGAGATTAGATTCAGTCAATGTAAATATTGAAGTTAGAAAAACACACAACTGTATTATTTTTCACACGGTGATGAAAAACAAATTCCATATCGTAGTCGTGGTTTTTATTATTTAAATGAGATGGTGTGTGTTTCTGTGTGTAGGACTCTCTAAATAAATTTACAAACTATGCCCCGTTAATATACAGTAGTGAAAAGTGTTATACGTTTCACCCACCATTGGAGTGCATTATATTTATTTATTCTAATATTAATAAGTCACTGCATGGTTTGATTCAGTAGTGCGTTGGCGTGTATTAACCTTATTGTCTAAATTCTATAAATATACCTAAATTTAGTCTGGAAGTATGTTTTTAAATTCACTTAAGAAAATCAAAATAACATGAGTTATTGTCTCATAATTTGAATATTGCCCGGATGTTCAGATCCAAATACATGGTTTTCTTAAGACACCAGTACCCCACCTCTCAACCGAGTCTTTGACTTGACACCTGATCTCCAAGGCAGTGAAGCTTCTCTATTATGGTTAGTGGTGACTAAAACAGGTTTATACAGCATTAGATCCTTTCAGATTCTGGAGTATATTTACACCGTGGGTTTGAAATTGCTTTCGTCAGATGGTATCATCGTGTGAGTAATTCTGAGGTCCAGCACCGAATGTTTGGACACAGTGGAGACCACCATTCATTGAGTTTAGGTCATCTGGAAACACCGGCTTTAGGGGTTTGGACATGTGCTACGAATGTCATGCGAGAGGCTACTGTACCTGTATCTCTTCGCTAGTCATGGGACTGGATAGCAGAAGTGAAAATGTGGTCAGCCTATGAGGTGGCATTGTGAGATGAAGAATATTTGTGATAGGTTAGCATCGGTTGGTGCGTCACAGCTCCCTTGTTGGTGTCCGAGAGATCAAAATGACAACTGTTGTTTAGTAGATATCGCAAATAATAATAATAATAATTTTTCAAAGCTGTGAATATCACTCAAATTGAGAAAATAAAGAAAATTTTACTGTGCGAGAGTCAAATACGTTTAAAAGGAGAATATTATTAGTGCGATTTATTATTATTATTATTCAAAACACAAAACCTGGTACACTATGGCACCAAGAAGATGAGGCACACAATAATGATAAAACGACATGTGAAAAAGAAGACTTCATCTGGGAAGAAAGCAGTTATATTTAACAAGACTAGACAGCATTCATTGAATTACTGTCAGAAAAGGAAGAAGGAAGGAAATCGCAGCACGTTCGCCATTGATTTTGATTCTTGGCCATATCCGACGACCTTTCGAACCGCCGATTCAAGCTGTCTATCGAACCCCAACCAGGGGGTCCAGATGCACCAACTGCTGCTAACTTATCACAAATATCTTTCATCCCACGGCGACACGTCATAGGCTTTTGCTATTCAGTTCCAGGACTAGCGAAGAGAGACAGGTACAGTAGCCTCTCGCACGACATTCGTAGCACATGTCCAAATCACTTAAACCGGTGTTTCCAGATGACCTAAACTCAATGAATGGTGGTCTCCACTGTGTCCAAACACACGGTGCTAGACCTCAGAATTACTGATATGAGATTGAGATGATGCCATCAAACGCAAGCAATTCTACACAGACAACGATGATTGAGTGCTCAGAGTCACCGTATATCCTCAGCTTGGGGAAGCCAGGTATAGAGCAAGACAGCGCTCATCAAAGGATTGTATACCCGACCTTTGGCATCTAGGCTAATGTCGTGATGGTGCCAGAGGTGGCTCAAGTTGTCGTTTTCCACCCTAGCTTTCATGATACGATTGGAAATCTCGTCTGTCACACCTCCATTGCACTCACACAGCTATCCACATACACGAACGATGTAGCAGAGTCATCGCGTTCTGATGGGCACTGGCACTGACAATGTCGATGAATATGTAAATAAATTTAAAAGGCATACGTCACGTCAATTTGCACTTAAAAAGGATGTAGAAATGCTCACTTTATCCTAACTTTCTACTGTATCGGATTAACAAACTCTGGACAGTGGTGAACTAAGCTTTTTATTATCTAATTCATTTTCAACGGTTTATGTATACGTGATGGCGATAGTCGTAATGATTACTATAACATAAATAATAATGGGTGAGAAGATGAAAATGTGCCTCGGTGTTTTAATGGTAGGACACTCGCCAACCACACATGTGGGCCGGGATTCGATTCCTTGCTGACTCACTCTTAAACCTCTCTTAGCCGGCAATACGACCAGTAACTAAAGAAGGTTGGATGTGACTCCAGCTACCTCACTCCATGAAAAATTAAAACCACTGCTACTGAAAATTCAAAGTTCAAACTTGAAGTCCTGTGTTCCACTGGGGGCGCAAATGAATAAAATAAATAAATAAGATGAAAAGAACAACCTATTGAAATGTATGATTTATGATTACTACTGCATCTACTAATGCAATAGTTAAATTATTATTTTCTCATTTCAAACAATTATTTTAATTTAATTTACTTTTAGGATTCGAATAGAAATAATCCAAAACCAAGACCACCATCTTGTGATTTAATAGATTCATTTGGTGATTTGACAATCGGATCAAATCAAGTTATTGATCTTTTTGATACTAGTGATACAATTCACAGTCCAATTGGCAGTACCAACTCTCAAAGACAACAACAGCAACAACATCAGCAGCAGTCTCAGCATATGCAAAATGCTTTTGTAGAAAGTTGGCCTGATAATTTAATCCCTTCAAATGTATCTTCAAAAACTAATGCTAATCAGAACTACTCTCCTATTTCATACCAAAATCATGATAAGTAAGTACTGGAAATGTAAATAATTCTGATAATATAAAACTGTGTGAAGTTGGATTTCATTCGATAAAGTAATTCTAATGCTTAGTTACCTATGAGAAATCAGGTTGCCCATAGGGCTTCTCAACTGTCATACTAAGTAGATGGTGTAGTTCATTGGCTTAAGCAGTCTTGGCTTTCAACCGATGGATCGTGGTTTCGAATCCCAATTTACGCCTACGTCGTTTTAGGCAGCTGGATTGTAGTATCATCAACAGGTATGTATGGCTCGTATTTTCGTACGCGGAAGATCTGTTTTGATGAATGAATAACTTATTGACTGACAGAAAATGAAGGAAACCAATTATTGCCAAAAGTATTGTCTGATGACCTGTAATTTTTCCCGTCTACCTATGCTTCGGCAAGTGGGGCATACCAAGTTAAAATAGGACTCCCCAGAAATGAGCCACAATTGTCTAATTATCCAACACTCTGAATTTTGATGTAGGTGTTCACACCTGCTCTATTTATTATTTTTTATTATTTTATTCCTTTACGTTCCCAGTAGAACATAGGGCTTCAAGTTAGAGCTTTGAAGTTCCGGATTGGGGTTGCTAGCCTCACATCCAACCTTACCTCTTTACTAGTCTTATTACTGGCTTAGCGAGGTAAAGCAGTGCGTCGGCTGGGTATCGAACCCTGAACCACATGTCTGATTGGCGAGCATTCTACCACTGTGCCACCACACCTGATCTCTATTACTGTATTAATACATGATGATATGGTTTCCCTGCAAAATTTATGTCTGCTGATTGTTTCTTTTTTTTTTTAATACAAACTTTTTCACAGTTTATTGGATAATGAGTTCGGTGATTTTACTTCGGCAACTGTACAGTCTTCTTCTATTCCTGTGAATACTTCCACTGCCGTTACAAATTCATCTCTTTTATCATTTGATGATATCGATTTTCATTCTTCAAATACTAATTACCAAACGACTAGCGGACAAAATGTAAGTTAAATTTAGGTATGAAAGTTGTCGTTTTTCTTAAGTATGTATTTATGCTTGTTAGTATTTATTCTCAATCTTTATTCCATTACGATGAAGACATATTGGTATATTTACGACACATATTAAAATAAGAAAAATACTTAAACAGCGAAGAAAATTTTCTTTGCGACGATTCATTTTTTGATAAGCTGTACAGTCGTAATTATATTTAACAAAGAATTCATAATACCATGCAGATACTGGTAAAATGTTTTCTCGAAAAACGTATTGCGTAATGTAAGATGTAACCCAGAGGGGGTGAGTAATTGGAAGTTAGAAAGGAATCAGAAGTTGGTATGACGTAATAAGTGTGAGAAAATGACTAATCAATATGATTGTGTAGAATGGATAAGAACTAGTGGAAGGATGATAAAGTGTTTTTATATAAAATCTACGAAAACGCAATGTTATTAATAAAGCAGTAATAGGGTGGCAATAAAATATGGATGATGGGAATAATAACAATATTAATAATAATAATAATAATAATAATAATAATAATAATAGTAAACTTACGTAATGAAAAGAAGCAAAATTATGGTGAGAACGTTAATCTGGCCACGGTAAGGCGAGTAATTGTATGTAGTGCTTTTGAATGCGAAGGTCCAGTTTCATATCCCGAATAGCCGATGATTCAGCTATGTATAGATGACGTATGCGAAGTCCCTTTGTACGATATTGAGGGACTCTGTGTAGTACCGTGAAGCTCGATGAACAGAGTTGACAAGGTGTTCGAGGATAGAGCTGCTACTATTCTTCTTTTCTCCTCTGACTAACCAAGCTGGACAGTGTTCCAGAATACGTTTATGGACTTGATGTTACGTACGGTCGATATACTTTGCTTCACACGAGCAAATAAACTGATAAATACACATTGAGGCGGCCAAAAGCGGTATCTTATCCTTAATGTTAGACTGGATTAACTGTCTGCTGGAGAGTGTGATACGTAAGGTGGTTGTTTGAAATGTCTTCTTCAGACATTTAGAAAGGCGGTTTCTAAGGATTTATGCTTCGATGTTACTCTTGATTTCCAGGTTCATGAAGAGAGTTTTCTTGGGAATAGTTGTGAATTTTAGCGACGTAGGTTTTTCTTTCATGTTTTCGTCTATGAATTTTGGTGGATAATCGTTATCTAGTGGGGTTTCACGTGGTAAATTTAATTCTTTCTCTATCGTGTCTTTCGAACAGATTTTTCCAATCCTTGAAATGACATATTATTCAGAGTAATATGGAATAAATATAATGAGCGAAAAATAAACTCTGAGACTTTTTCTCGCTAGAGTAGTTCTATAATCCCATTATTGCTAGTTTGAATTCAAAGATAGTTTTTATTACAAATTCACATTGTCTCTTTCACATTATATGTTGTATGTGTTGTATAAATAAGACTGATAAAATTATTGTGATCAGTAAATATCCATATGCAGTTTTATATATAGTGGGAAATTTCAAATCTCCATACTGTCATTTTGATTATAGATTGTTATTATGGTCAGTTGTAGCATTAAAAGTTAGCCAACCAGAAAATAAATTCCTTTGTCTAAACTGACTGTAGTAGCTAACCGAGTGACTGGATGTAAAACTTTGCATGAAAATACATCTGATTCAAGTTGCTACACTTTGGAAAGGCATGCATAAGAGTAGACAAAAGGAATATAGTGAATCTGCAATAGACAATAATGTACACAAGATTTAATAATTAGACTAAAATTAGTAAGAAAGTTTAAAATCTGAAAGGCGGTTTACAAGTGAACACATCTGCAGCAGATATCCAGATTGATTTCAGACTAACAAAGATCTGCCTTGTCTTTCAAATCATGCCTTTGACATTCATCCGCACTCTGTGAGGTGATGCTTCCTAGATTCGTAAAAGAAGTAACTTCCTTCAAATTTTTTTTCATTGTTAGTGATTGGTGGCTGTTGTTGTTGGTTAGATATTTTTCTGACTGTTAAATTGTTCTGAGTATCAACAACAATTTCAATTAAATTTTTATCTTTATCATATATGTTTCTATTTGCCTTGTCCCTTTGTTTCTCTTTTTTATTTACACACACATATTCATCCAGCAGTCCTTTTGGAACAAGCTGGCTGAAGAAAATCGACAACAACAACAACCAAATGCAAAACAGCAACAACAACAACAAGAACCACTTCAATCCAATCCAACTTCACCATCCAAAGGGAAATCAATTAATGTCGGAAGTACATGGAAAGATTTAGAGACACTAAGCATTGATTTAGATTCACTCGTAAAACCTGAAAAATACGGTACACGAACACAAGCACCAAGTTTACATCAATTGAAACAAAGTCAGCAACGTGTTCAATCATAGCTTGAATTTTACACACAACTTACCATACATATTACCTACTTACCTACACAGATACACCAAAACCTTTTGGAAACATGTCTCCAAGTAAACAGTATTGTTAAATGCTTGTACGACTCACGACATTCATGAATAACAATAATATTACTACTACGACTACTATATTGCTTTACTTCAGCTCAATAATAACTTGCTCATTCTTTGAAGAGAGATTTTCCGATTTATGTAATCAGATGTGTGTCTGTTTGTGTCTTGTTATCCTTAACTTCCTTCCCCCTCCGTTTCTTTGGTTACTTTTCATCTTCCCCCCCCCTCCCCCCTTTGTCTCCGTTTGTCTTTCCACCTATTTTATTTCTCAAATAACCATAATATTGTTTGTTTTCAATCTTTCTGTAGACTGAATTTACCTGATGTAATAATGAGTAAGATCTTCCCAAGAATTACACTTTAAACTATTTTTACGGAGATATGCATGTTTTATTATTTGAGTCGGTTTAGTTTATTATTATTATTATTGTCTTTCAAGTATATTGTATATTTTTTTTAAAGAAAAGGGTTTACACACTCCTTCTTCCTTGCATGTCTTCTAATTCTTTGTCAATCCATATGAGATGAACACTGACCACTGTGAAGTTGAACATTGATTGAATTCATCAGAAAGATAATAAAAGAAAAAAAGCATTATTTTTCTGTAACCACATTTAACTCCAGTTGTTTGTTTTATTTATTTATTTATTTATTGACTTATCATCTGTTTTTTTCTTCTTTTTTTGTGATAAGTTTATTTTGTAAACTTTACTTTACAAGCGTCTGTGATTGTAGTATAATATATTCATTGTTATATACATACATGATAAGTATTCACCTAGTGTTTTACGGTTTCCCTTATTCTCCATGTTGAGTACTGTTAATTATGACTATGATTATTTGTTCTAGGGGAAAAATACTCAATAATAATAATAATAATAATATTCTGTTCATCGCAGAGAAATGTGATGTCATAATGTGCCTTAAAATTGTTGTATTTTCTTTTCTTCTCCCCATCTTCTTGTCATCCCACCTTTTTTTTAAAAGAATGTTATTTTTATTCTTCTTCTACTTCTACTTCAGATAACTGTCATCTGTTGAATACTACTACTACTAATAATAATAATGATTAGTTTGTATGGTATACACTTCATTTTGTATGCTATGTGTCAGGTTTTTTTTAATAAAGATAAAGAGAACTGGCTGACTGACTGACTCACTGACTGGTTGGTTGAGTTTCAATATAGAACTTTGCATCGATGTGCAGCAGTTGAAGTCACCACACTTCTTCTATGTAGCACACAAAGCAAGGAAAGAAAGTAGAAGAAATGCATAATAGAGACATTAGACAGGGATATGAGACAAAAGGAATAGTAATAACGAAGAATAATATAGTTTCATTGAAAATTATAAATCACAAGGAGTGGATGCATCTCCGTCAGCAATTGAAAACGATTTTGACCCATATCACCAATTGTTTCCAACCATTGGTTTTTACAGTCCCGAGGACCCCAACCAGGAAGTCTACATCTTCCTATGTGGCTGGCTGGCTTAAACTAACTGTTGTGGATTTGATTGACTGGTGAGGCCATGTTTTGGTTTGACCGCTGCTAGCTCTTTTCCAGTCTGATCCTATGTCAGCTAATATTGCCCGTCGAGGAAGGCGATGGCTAAGCTAGGCATGTGTAACACATGTCCTAACCATCTCAATCGATGTAGCTTGACAGCCTCGTCGATTGATTTCCCTCCCAACTACCTAGCACTCGACCGAAGCCTAACCTCAATATTGCTCACCTTATTATACCACTTCACACGGGAGATAGAGCGTAGGAACCTATGATCACAGACAGCTAATCTTTTCATGTCTCCCATTCTCAATGGCCTGGTCTCACAGCTAGCCATAAAGGAGGACGGAGCGAACTTCTGAGCAGTACACCCGCACTTTGGCCTGGTGGGGGGGGCACATAAAGAAAGACGAAAGAGAGAGAGAAAAAAATGGGATTCAAAAGTACAATGATAAGCAGAAATATGAGAGAAAAAGAATAGTAACATGGAGATACGTGAGCGTTTAATGAATATGGACGGTCATAAAGAGTGAATGCATCTGTGCCATTGAGACATGTCTCCGGTCATATCCAGTCATCAGTTCTTAAAATTCCGACGCCTCTCTACGTGGCTCAAAATAACTATCAAAGATTTCACACAGTGATGCCAAGTTTCTCTTTTTAAATCTAATTCTATATCAGCTAACATTGTCGATGGCTAGGCATGCGTAACACATGTCCTAACGATCTTTTTAAATTTATTTAACTTCACAACCTCGTCGATTGTCTTACCCCCCTTAACCTAAAACTCTACACCTAACCTCATTATTACTTATGTTGTATCACTTAACACGGAAGACAGGACGCAGACACATATGATAAAAGACAGCTAGCCCTTTCATGTCTTCCAATTTCAGTGACCATGTCTCCCAAACATGAAGGAAGACAGTGTGAACTGCTGAGCAGTACACACGTTCTTTGGTCGACAGCCGGCCGGATATCACATCTACGCTAGAGATGAAGGCTATAAGAGAAACTTTGTTATTTATTCGGTAATACAGAAAGAATAATACAGAATAAATAGTCACACGACAATGATTTGATGATCTTTAGGTGCTGTCGAAATATGTTTTTGTCCTTTTCATGTGTATGGATGTTAACTAGAGTGGGGGGCGGGGGGGGAGGAGGGTAATAAAATGTTATTTACTCGAAAAGGAGCAACTAGTTTAACTGTCTGACCACTTTAAAGTCTATGTGCTTTATACACTGCTGCGTTGTGTATTCTTCCTTGAATCCAAATATTTATTGCACTGAGTTAGTTTGAACACGTTTTCTACCAGTTAAAAATAGATTTTGAAGCACACAAAAGGCACCAGTTAGATGTCCAGACTGTTTGTAAACATTGAAATCTGGGCTTCTGGTACAATAATTAGACTATCAGACCTAAGTATTACTAGATCTTTTCATTTGGATTGTATTTGAATTCTGATTGTCATTTCCTATAGATTGTGAAGCCACTGTAACCCGATCCAATGACTAGTCCATGAATTCCAACTTCTGACAATTCACGATATACCGCGACCACTAGCCAATGTTTCCGGTGAGCATTTCTCTCCACACCCTACATGTTGTACCCTACTGGTAAGGACTTCCTAGTAGAACCCCAGGTAACTAGCTACCTGAATAGGTCCAATCGCTAGAGAGCATCTCATAGATATTCAAGTGTTGGTTTGAAGGGATTTGATTAATTGGTTACAGGGTTTCATTATGAGCTGACATCGGTAGATAGTTACGTGGGGTTCTAGTGGGAAGTGGTAACCAGTAGAGTATAGCAGGTAGGGTGTGAGGACAAATACTCGCCCGTGATATTTGCTAGTGGTCACTCTATATCCTGAATTGGCTGAAGTTGGAATTCATGGAATGGCCATTGGATCGGGTCCCAGTGGCTGAATGGTCTACGAGCATGCTCGCCTTGTAGTCAGAAGGTCCTGGGCTCGAACCCTGGCGATGGGCGCGTACTGATGAAGAGCCCCAAACTAGGACGAAATAGCTATCCAGTACTCCCAGGTCTTCCAAAGCTTCTCTAACCGAAGTCAGTTCACGATGGAATCCTGTAACCAATCACTCAAATTCCTACAAACCAAACTTGAATATCGTATAGAGTAGTTGACTGTTAGATCGTAAGTATTAGTTGGTTTAATTCTAATCTAAACAGGATCTAAATTTTCTTTTAAGTCTGATCAACTTGTCTGTTTGAGTGGTATGTTGTATAATAGCGTATTGGGACGTAGTATAGAAATAAAAGTGATTAGTAGATGTGTGATGACTTCTGAATTTTGTTCAGCATTTGTATATCGAAGCGAAAATTGATTCATTTTGTACTAGTTTTATATGGTAGCTGACATAACGAACGTCAAACTGTCGCCTTCACTAATGCTAATTACCAAATATTGTCTACCATGGTTTTTATAATACAGTGATAATAATAATAATAACTATTCTGGACAAAATGACTACGCGATTCTCAGAATTCTAAGTGCAATTGATTGAATAATATCTTCTCTTCATACAGAATTTTCAAGTGAAGTAGCTATCTATGGCATATTTTGTGACGCAACGCTCTTCAATCCCGTAGGATATTTTTCCCTTCTCCAAGAAATGCGCCCCTGTAGACTGGAAGTCAATTAAAGAATGTGCGTGAATATATTTTATGACTCAAGGACATATTTGAATGATTAAAACAATAAGAATTTGAGAGAATATTAAGCATTATGCCGGATGGAAATTCAGGTAGCCTAGTGATTCGAGACTTAAAAATTTAGGATATAAGATTAATGTTCTATGTTCGGTCTTGTCTACAACCTATGAGATGAAGTATAAATTGTGTGTGGCAGAGAAGAGACGTGTGTTGGTGGTTCAGTGGTAGAATGCTCGCCAACTACGCAGGTGGTCAAGAGTTCGACTTCCGGCCAACGCACTCGTAAACCTCCCTGGGCCGGTAAGGAGGTAAGGTAGGGTGGGAGGCTGGCAACCTCACCCCGAAACTTCCAAGCTCTATCTTAAAGCCCTATGTTCCACTGGGAACGTAGAGGGATAAGAAAAAAGGAAAGCAAAGATAATTTACCTTCAGTTAAGGTTAATTTTTTGTAACTAAATTTGTCAATACTTTAAGATAGTTGGTGGCTAACATTAAATACAGTTGTGATTTGAGTTTGAATAGCTTTTGAAATATTTTCTCTTGACTGGATATGGTTTACTTGCTATTGTTTCAAACGTTTCATAGGCAACACAGCGTGTGTAAATATGAATAGACTTGTTTTTCTTATCTTAGCAATCGATTAGTTGTGCTTAATGAGAAGTAAGACGAGCATATTTAACGTTTAACCATATTGATATGTTAGATTTAATAAGCAAATAAAATGGAACTAACAC